CTGCATTTCTCGATTTCCAACAAGACCACCCACAAAAGTTCGTAACCTTGCTAGCCCCGTGTACGTTGGAGGGGGTCTACGGACAACTTGAACTCAATCCCTTTGAACGCGTCGATCTTCTCTTTTTCTCTGCACTCTCTCGTCCGCATGGCACTCTATGGCCGTTGTGCTCACTCCAGCTTTTCACCGACTATAAGTAGCTCACCCACCCCGGAGTCCCCTCCCCTTGAAAAATCCCGTTTCCTGGCTCGCCATACGTTTTTTGCACGTTTCGATGCTTTGGCAGCCGCTGCCCTCTATCCGTCTGCGTCACAGGGTTTCGTAACAGGACCATGCACAAAAGTTCAAGATGTCACGTAACCGCTGGGAGGGATCGCTCTCAACCGGGTCAACCTCTGTCCGAGACATGGTGTATTACGAAATGCTTGCTCAAAACCAACACATCCTACTCACTGCTAGACAGCAACAATGACTATCTGCTAGAGAGCAACAATGTGGCTTTGCCGCGTCAGAAGATGACCTTTCGATACACTGCTGCAGAGTGATCCCTCCTGATGAGACTAACATAGCCTCGACTTTTTTCCTAGATAGGTTTGAAGAAGGACGTTCTGAAGACTGGTGGAGGGAGATAACTTCTACTGCGCGTGTCTGTAGACGAATCCTAGATGGAATAAAATCTCAGATGTAGAACCTACTCCTGACTTCCGATTTTATACTCGAAATCCCTAGATCGGGTAGGCGTGGCCGTATGTGTCAACAACCTGAAAGGTTTTTATGCTGCTTGTGAGATATTTTCATCTTGACACAGTTGTTGTCGTGTTTCTGTCCAACACAGAACAAGATGACAGCTTGTCTCGCGTGAATGTTCTACGAGAAAGTCCACGCGCACTCTTGGAACCAGGGATCAGGGCGTGTACCTGAGGTTGTAAATTGCGAACTGACCCGCTCCGGGGACAGATAGCGATCCCGCCCTATCGCCGCTGAAGTACTTGCACCAGCTAGATTGTACTGCTCAAATGGCTTGCACACAAATGCCACTACCATTCTGAACGCGACGTGGCGAAGTTTATAGGGTACTAATAATGGTTGCATGTCCATGCCTATGCCATGTGACAGATTTTTTGCTGTGCAATGCATTTTAAATCGTAAATTTTCGATGAATCAACACTTAGAAGAGCACACATTTAAAGACACCATGGTAGCGTTAAACACATTGAGGGTGTATGAGACTATCAGCCCCCCAGCTGTCGATGTGTCGTGGTCCCCCCGCCCAAACATGCCCAGGAATGGAGATACAGGGCCGTGAAACACGCTAGTTCCTCCATGCTCCGCCTTACACCTTTTGCGGCGCAGATTCCCGTCCTTCATAACATCCGTTGCAAGCGCGCGTGTCGCGTGCGGCTCCTTGGCACTTTGCCAAGTCCTTTAATTGCGCTCTCAAATACGAGTAAAACGCAATTTCCTGATGCGGATAACATTGGAGGTGCTACAAAATAAGAACAGAAGATGATGACAAGGGCCAGAACTCAAGAGCAACTCGGCTGCATCCGCAGAATCCATCAGAGGCCGCGCATTCCCAGAAAACATGAGAATAAAAACAATCCAAGCGTCCCACTCGTTTATTCTAAGTATTTCTATGGCTTTGGCGCCGGATTCGCGCCGGATCGTAGAAATTTACAGGCGATTTCAACTAATTTGCCTTTCTTTTGATTTTTTCATTTTTGTTTTATTTACATTTACATCGCTGTGCTTCATTTCTAGCCTGTGTCATCTTCATCTCCTTGTACATGGATTTTGAAGTATGAGCAACACCTAAAATTTTATTCGCATCAGGAAATTGCGTTTTGCTTGTATCAAACTAACGAGTATGCCGTTTTATTTTCATGTTTCGTGGAAATACGCGGCCTCCGAGGGATGTTGCAGAAGTGGCACAGTTGCTTTTAAGTTCCTGAGGCTCGTCATCCATCTTGCCGTTTTGTTATTTTGCAGCACCTCCAATGTTATCCGCATCAGGAAATTGCGTTTTACTTGTATTCGAAAGCGCAATTAAAGGACTTGGCAAAGTGCCAAGGAGCCGCACGCGACACGCGCGCTTACGACGGATGTTACGAAGAAAATGCTGGCGCCGCAAAGGTATAAGGGGAGCATGGAAGGAAGTAGCGTGGTTTCAACGCCTTGCATCTCCATTGCTAGGCATGTTTTGGCGCGGGGACGCACGACAGCATGACAGCTAGGGGCGATAGGTCTCAAGACACCCTCAAATGTGTTTGCAACGTACCATCGTGTCTTAAGCTGTAATATCATCAGTATCAGCTTGAAATTCAACTAAAAATGCAGTGCCAACATGAACTAACGTTTCCCGTTGCTTTCCATTCTACTCGCCGTATTCACAGTATCACCAAAGAGGCAGTATCGAGGCATGGTCAACCCTACCACTCCTGTTACTACAGAACCTGAAAAATAAAATATAGCATTTACTGGTTACTGTCTGCTTGAAGACCTACATTTGCAAGAAATTACAGTGCACGGCAACGATTTGTGAACATCTAAACTCTAATTCTACGGATATAGAAGAGATTTTCCTCAGTTGAACCTTGCTGCTAGTTCCAATGGATCAAGGCATAACTTTTGGAGAAAGCGGTTATCGTCAATTGGGAGAGTTGGGAAAGTGAAGGAAAATTGTTTGACTGATCTTTTGATTTGTTCAATGGCAATTGAAATCGGAATCACCTGTATGCATTCCAATTCTCAGATTAACTCCTTGTTGAGGCAGATGAGGTATTCTGAAGCTTCTGAGGCTCTCTATGAATCCAAGTGACATACTGCATATTTCTGTTATATGTTGTTGACCGTTCCTGTGAGGGAGTCCACTGACGCAAAGGTAGCCATCGCCTATCGTTTCTACCTGAACAATGGGTGCAAGATGAGAGATGAGGGGAAACACTCGATTCCCTATAACAAAAAACATGCTCAGTGGCTGGTGTATGATTGATTCAAAGGGATCAGACGTTATGGACGATAGGTGACGGCTACCTTTGCTGGGTTTCATAACGTCGCTGATCCCTCTGAAAGAAGCTGAGGGACCTGTCTGTTTGGTAGTAGTTCCCTCAGCTCAAGGCAGTATTCCTTTTGCACTAATGGCAGCATTTTTTCTGGTAAAACGCGACGCCATATTGCTGTGGTGTGAGGTCGCATGGTATAAGATGGGCCTGCAAGGCTGGTGTGAGGTCGCATGGTATAAGATGCCCAAGCCGGAAACCTGTCGGGACTCATGAACGATGGTAAACACTGGTTTGAAAAACGCTCAACTGCCCCATCTCTCGCACAACGTGATGCACCGCTACCGTGAGTCCTGTATTGCGAAAAATTTATCGGAACATCGACCACATTCAACACAATCTTTAAGGCTGTAGTTGCGTTCTTTCGAGCGGATGCACGGAGTCACTTTGAAACAGTACATCGTGAAACGGGACCTGGCCCAACCTGAGATCATAGAAATCGGTGTTGAGAACAGCTCACTTTCTGGAGATTCTCATATAGATGACAGGCACCGAAGATCAAGTTGGCCTCGGCGTTGTTCGGCGACGGGAGGCATTTTGTACTTTCGCTGCTTCACTAGTTCTGGTTTACAAGTCTCACTCTGGTGAAACCTGTGAACTCTTGTGAAGCTGGAGCAAGCTCGTCCAGCCACCATGTTGAAACCTGTCAATTCTCAGAAGGCTCTCTCGATGGCTCGACATGTCGATGGGAAGAGGCAGAAGTGCAAAATCCCCCCCCCCCCCCTCGCCGTAACTGCCCCGTTGGCTTCTATCGAGGTAACGATGCAGCGGGCTAAAGTCGACTGAAAACTGAGGAACGCCACCTAAAGAAAGACGGATCTGATGAGCAATTTATGGAAATGAGTAGCAAATGCGGGCTCGAATGTTACCTGTCATACCTAGCATTGTGCTTTTTTGCAGTTCCTTATTTACTTCTTAGGTTTTAGCAAAATCATCTAACATGACAGGCCACAATTTCGTGTTTCGATAGTGCTTTAGAAGCCACAATAAATGCGAGTTTGATGAGCATTAGTTCACTTGCCTTGTAAACATCATGTGCATCGATTATACCATCAAAGATTGTGTAGAGGTCGTTCAGCAAACTAACCACCTGGAATTCAAAGAGAGTTGTCTTTTCCAGCAGTACTAACACAAGTATCGTTTTCTGTTATTTTTCGAACACAAGAAGAGTTAAATTTCCTTTCTAATAGTGACTTGTATGCTCAAGCACTACCCTTCAACCAGTACCTCCCCCCCCCGCCTACAGATACCTAAATAAAAAAGGATAAAGTCTTCGCCGTTGATCAATCCCTTTGTGGGGATGCGGCACGCATTCTACTTCCATTCAGAATCGTAGTGGCTTATTGAATGCGATGTGGCCTATACAATGACTTGCGGGGCCAGCCGATGTACAAGTCAGTGTTTTATCCTCCCAGACGAATCTGGTACCAATTTACCGTGGTAGAAGGCTTGGTTGGCCTGGGCGGGTGTCGACCTGGGATTCGAACCCAGGACCGCGCGAGTGGTAAGCGCGCCACTTGTCACTACACCACCTCCGCCCATGGATACAGTTACCTAAATAGCCCACTTCATTTCGAAAAATTCTTTCAACGCTTTCAACTGCAATGTGATGGGTCGCTACGCTTCCACAACCATTTATGCAGCATAGTACTGGAAAAAAAACAAGATATCTAGTTCCTCAAGGACACGTTCTCCTCGATATAAAGCTTTCCATTGATTCAGATCTTCTACAGACAATATCGAATTCATGAT